ATTAATTGGTCAATTTTTAATAATAAATCACATTTCTTTTTATTTGTTTTTTTTTTTATAAAAAATTAACATTTGAGATCTATTGCACCAAAATTGTATATTAATGGCGAATTATAATCCGACTGGTTTTATGCCGGGAGGGATACGAGTGGGTCCCTTGGTTTACAGCATTCCAAATGGCTCAAGATTACCACCTACAAGACCACACTTTACCATGACACCAAATGGATATGTACCAGGAGTTCACCATAATATAAACGCAAATTCATATGTACCGAATATGATATTGTCAAATAACCCAAGAAACGTTATTCCAATGCGGATACCACCCAAGTAATTCATATTAAGTTATTATTAACATGGAATGATTTATTGAATAATGAACTAATGCGCTAATTACATCGGGAATGAAACATTTTTACATTGATTTAGACTCTCTTGCATTGTAAGACTATTAACTTTTGCAGAATTTTTAGGATGTGATAATCCGCAAGTACGTTTTAGATTGAATTGTTAATCATAGATCTATTTTGTCATTTACTAATCATTTTAAATTAATCGAATTAGAGTCCAAGGGATATCCAATTCTGGAAAACTTTAGCACACGAGTACTTTACTGAGGAAATTACAATGAAATATACATTACATAATATAAAGAATAATGATAAAAAGAAATATGGTATAGGTTTTTTATATTGTATTTAGTCTTTAATTTTGTTAATATCTTTATACAACCTTTTCCTATTGGTTGAATAGAACTCAAATATCATGTTATTCCAAGATTCTATCTTACATTTTTTGAATCTGGAATAGAAAAGATACAAATTATCCTTGGAAATCCAAAGGAAACAATTGGTCCAATTGGTAATTTAAATGGTATTCAAACCATAATAGATTGCACATCTGCTTCTATAGTATACCATTTTAGAAATGGAGTTCAGGTAAAAAGTTATGTAACAATTAAACTCGTTGCTTTCAGTAGGATTTATTATTTATTTAATATTTTATAATCTAGGTTGCGGCATCCGGTCGTTTAACGGTCATATTTAACAATATGCAAAAAATGACGAGTTATGAATTTGAAACTTCAAAGTTTACCGAATATGTGCCACGACATCATCAAATATCAAAAGAAGCGACTGTAAATGAATATGGAATACCATTTAAGACAATGCGATGCCTAGATGTTAGCATTTTTTCATACTATTTTGTTAATCCTTTTATATATCTTAAATACTTATTATGATTTGAACAGATCGCAGAGGTTGTTGATAACATGCACGAAGTCATGAGAAATGCTATATTCAATCCACAACTTGGACCACTACGTAATTATAAATTTCTTGTAATGGAACCAACCTGCATTTAAGTTTATATATATAAGTTAATATGTATCTTGATATATATATTCACACACACATATTTTTTTAGAGACATTAGGGATGATGTCAGCTTCATCTCAAACCATGAATATTACACCTACAATTTCTAATAATCCAAATCCAAACCCAAACCACAGGATATCAAATCCACAGCTAAATGGACTTAAAAACATTAAACATGAATATACTGGTGCCCCGCCAACACCCAATGCAAATGATTTACAGGCATCAGCCCCAACACCAACTGCGAATCCTACACCTAATCCTACACCCACTCCAACACCTACACTAACTCCTTCACCTCTGGTAACTAACCCTAATGGAATTATAATGGGTTCCCCTATCCAAAAACTTTCAAAAAAATCTCCGGCCCTAAGTGGTAAGCTATAATTGATTGTGACTTTTATAATTTTAACTATCGTTATTCAAAAATTTCATTTTAATAGATCTAAGTCTTAAAAGAGGCAATGATAACGGGTCAGCGGCAAGTAAAAAACGTAGGTCAACAACACTTAAGACCTCTCCGAGAAAGAACGCGTAATCATTTCATATGCGTTTTATATAATAATATTTGTATATATATATTTTTACTATCCTTATTAGTTTGTAGATCTATTTTCTACAATAATAGATAATTTTAAGTAAATTTAATTGATAACAGACGGGATAATATATTTGTTCAGGTGTTCAAATAATATCAGGATGGATATAATAAACAATCTCAAAATATTTGGGATTTGATGAGACATTATATTTATGCATTATTTTCCTTTCTTTTACCTTTTTTCATTATTTTATATTAGAAAATTTTATGACCAAATTTCATATAGCTATCACTTTTAAAAATGTATGAACGAATCATTACTTGTAGTTAAAATATGCTCCGCAAAAATGTATTTCTATTTTAATCAAGATGTATGCTAATTAACATATATACAAAAAAAAAAAAAGAAATTTCACTTAAGCTATCTAATTTTTTCCCTTATTTGTTTCGTCGTTTCTTATTGGAATTAATATTATTATTATTATTAATATTATTATTACTATCATTTTTATTAGAGGTAGCTGGTCTTTTCTTCTGTTGAGAAATAATTTCTTGTTTTTTACGTTGTAGATTTTCAACTTTTTCCTGACGTTTTTTCTTGCCATATTGGATTTTATTGTATAGAGTTTTTTGTTTCTTTGTCATCATTATTTTGGCCAATTCTTTAACTTCTTTTTCTTCAATTTCTTTGGCTGCACGTTTTTTACCAGTTATAGTTTGAATAGAAGGCTGTTGAACTTTAGTATTATTAGTGTTTTGAATTTTCTGATTTTTAGCAAGTTGATCTTGTTTTTCTTGATACATAGAAAATGATATTCCTGTTGCTTCGGCTTCGAGTTCCATTTGATGAATTATATCTTCATTATAAGGCTTAAGGAGTGGGGAAATTTAAAGGTGGTCAATATTAATTATTATAAAAAGACGAATGAAGAATAGTGATAAAAAATATTTTTTTTTTACCTCATCAGATGTGATTAGAGGAATAATTGCTTTCTTATCATGAGAAGAACACGATTCAGGTTCAGGATCCTCATCCTCATTTTCATCGCTGTCATCATCTTCACTATCATTTTTGTCATCGTTATCACTTTCTTCGTTTGAAGTATCTTTCTTTATTTCTTGTTCATTTCTCAATTCCTTTTCCTCCATATCACCTTCAAACTCAGGTATATAATCACCCTCCTTATGTTCAACAAAGGGCGATAAATGAGGAGGTAAAGTCTTTCCAGGTTGATATGGTTCAATTTTTAATAATTTTCTAGCATTAACACAATCATAAACCCATTGTGGTTGAATATAAGCACGTGATAAAAATCTATGACCTGAAGTAGGGCGGTCAATAACGTGATGTGTGATGCGATCATCACTTTCATTGAATGGTGATCCAACACCACAAGTTTCGTCCCAACCAACTTGACCACCAAAAGTACGAATAATAAATTCTAAAGAATATCTTGGAACTTCACGAGATAAATAAAAAATGCAATTAGAAAATAAATTTTCAAATTCTGTTAATGCAATCGAAGCATTTTGTATATCACTATACGTATATGTTTTTGATGAGACATCTTGTTGATATTTTGAATCTGATGATGTAAATTCATCAATTATTTCCTCGTTACTAATTACTTCAGGTTCTTTCGTAGTATCAGGTTGTATTTCTGATGTTGTATTCCCTTGATCTTTAATAGTTGCAAGTTTTTTCGATAATGTCTTTAGACGTTTTTCAGATTCCAGCTTGCGAACCTGTGAATAATAAATTCTTAATATTAGCGAAACATTTAAAAGTCGTCAAATAACTTTTAAAAAAGAACTACCATCTCTTCTTTAATAGTATCGTTATTATTTATATCCTCGTTATTATGTGAACTAGTAGATAAAGTTGCAAGGCTATTGGTAGTCTCAATAATAAGAGCACCTAATCCAGCTGCACCTTCATCTTTAGATGTGTCTAATTTTGGTGGATAAACGAGATTTACATCGGAATACAATTTGAAATTTACAAAACCAAGAAGGGTTTGATAAAATTCCAAGAAAGTTAACATAACACGAAAGTCAACATCATCAGGAACCTATAAATTAAAAGAATTAAGTCAGAATAACACAATGATTAACATTAATATCTTTAGTAATTTACCTGTTGACTAAATTGATAAGGAGCTAACCAATTTATTATTTGACCTTTAACTTCTGCTTGATAATAAATTCCTTTAATTGACAAGAAAACTTTACGTAAACTTTTAGTTTTAATGATATAATGTTGAAATTCAGCACATAATCTTTGACAATTTGTAACTGTCTCCGAGTTTATTTTATCTGTTGCAGGAAATGTAGAAAATAAGAACAGCATACACAATGCATCATCAAGATCTCTTAAAGCATCAGTGAAAGTAGGATATCTTGTTTAATGAAAACGAGAAAGTAATTAATTAATTCATTCATTTAAAACTTTTTAATAAATTGACGAAAAAAATTACAATTTACTACTCGTGGTTACCTTTCTTTAAGGATATGATCCAATTTATAAACTGGTCTATTTTTCTCTAAATTTTTCGCAATACTTAATTCTCTTTTACTTAAGGCTTTAGTTAATTTTCTTAAAAATATTTTATGTTCCCTGAATTTTTGTAGGACTGGCTCATGAGCGAGGTATTGAATATCTTTTGTATAATAAAAAGTTGTTGGAGCTGTAGAACCTTTATTGGCTTTTTTCTTATTTTTCGGTTCTCTAGGATAAATGCCTTTAAGAATACATAAACGTCTTAAGTAAAAAATAGAACTAGTCAATAAAATTTTCCGTATTAGCAAATGATAAATTCAAAATACAGTATGGGTGTACCTAAAATCCGCAAGTGAAACTTGTAACTTTTTTAAAGCTTGATTTCGATTGATGTAATTTGTAGCTGCCCCAGCTTTTCCTTTTTGCTTTAATTTCCCCATATTTTTAAATAATATTTTAAAAAAAGATGAAAAAAATTTTTTTTTCTGATTTCTGATTTGTTATCGATAAAAAAAAAAAAAGTGATGCTCCAAATTCAACCAATAACAATGAAGTAAATCACGTGCATAAATATTGAACATTATTTTCGTCGCGTATATTTAACGAGACGTTTATTTTCGAATTTTTCTTTATTTCCTTGAATCAAGAACCGTTTATTACAACTAGTCTCAATTTAAATGGATGAACCGAAAACAAGAAAAGCAACTGTAGATACGGTATTGAAAGGTCCGATTAACTCGAGTCCCTTTGGCCCGTTTGCAAACCTTACAAATTTGGCCCATAGACATGGCGAAAGTCCAGCGAGGAATGCAAACAAGGTAATATTATGAATAAAGAAGCGTGTCAAACATCAAATATACAATTTAAGCTTATTTTATTACAGGGTTTAGAAACACCAGTAACAACTCGTCCTCAAGAGTTAAATATGTCCTTTTCGTGTGTGAATAATCATATTGATAATGCAGCAGCTCGATATGGCTTATCAACCCCAGCAGTCACTGATAGGTAAGTGAATCATTTAATTGCTTATATTGACATATTCAACTTCTTACATCATCTGTTTCACGTTCAAATTGTTGATAAGGTTGCAGAATAATGGTTCAACTGTGAGAAGAAGAAGAAGAACGATAACTACTGCGCGTAACCTTGGTAAGGAATTACCCTTTATGATTATGGATATATTGGACAACGGTTTTAACATTTAAAAAATCAATCCTGAGTAGGCCCACCACAACGGGTAAAAAAGATACAAACAGAGCCAGTTCCGGAAGAAGAGGAACCGAAAGAACCTTCCGATCAACCTAGCCGTCGCAAGATTTCAGGTAATGCTTTATTACGAAATTTAACGTTTTTCATTTGAAGTTAATTTCTAAAAGTTTACCTTTACATAAATGTTGTAGACAGTAAAGAGCATGATGCTTTATTATCAAAGGAAGATAACCATATTAAACCATATACATATCTCAAACCTACAAGATCAATTAATGATGAAAAATCAAATTTACAACATTCGTTGAAAGTAGGTCATCAAGAAGCTAAATTACAAAGTGACTTATATATGAAGGGTCATTCGCCAGAAACTTCCAAGGCTGAGCCTATTATACAAAATGTAAATGCGCACAAAGACATCATGATGGTAAACAATTTTTTTTTTTTTGAGATTCCGATTTCTTTTATAAAAACAATCTTTAAATAAAAAATTTAATAGCTCAATGGAAAACCATATAAACGTTACGCGGTACTTGGTCGCGGAGGTAGTAGCAAAGTTTATAAGGTGACTGATTCAAACGGTCAAGTTTACGCCATGAAAAAAGTCACTTTAGACAGAGTTGATGATAATATAATATCTGGATACATTAACGAAGTATCTTTATTAAAACGTTTATCCGGAAGAGACGGTATAATAAAATTGTATGATGCGGAAGTAAACGAAGAACGGGGATATTTATTAATGGTAATTTCAAGCATCATTTATTTTAATAATTAGAGATAAATTTTCCGCTCATTCTTATTTATTATCCTTCAAGTTGTTGGAATGTGGGGAACAAGATTTAGCTCACTATTTATATTCTCAAAATGGAGAACCAATAAATTTAGATGATATCCGATTTTATTGGGAACAGGTAAAATAAAATGATATATGTCAATATTATAAATGCGAAGATACTTAAATTATGACAATAAATAATTATTAGATGTTAAAGGCCGTGTACGCGATACAACTAGAAAACATCGTGCACACAGATTTAAAACCTGCCAACTTCATAATAATAAACGGGACGTTAAAACTTATCGATTTTGGTATTGCGAAAGCAATACCAAACGGCACGACCAATATTCATCGAGAACATCATGTATGAGAATTTTATTACCTTAAAAGGGATTTTTTGTTTCACTTAATTACTGAAATTGTTATATTTTGACTTTTAGGTAGGCACGATTAATTATATGTCGCCGGAAGCCCTCAACGACACGAGTGACTTAGAAACGGGCAAAAATGGGAAAAAATGCCTGAAAGTAAGATATTTTTGTTTATTTCCTTTTTTTAAAGGTAGTACTGCATTATATTCGATAAATTATTAATAATAGCATTTATAGCAAGGCCGACCAAGTGATGTTTGGTCACTTGGATGTATTCTTTATCAGATGGTTTATGGTCACACACCGTTCTCTCATTTGAATATGACCAAAAAATACCAGGCCATACTTGATGAAAATTATATAATTTCATTTTCAACCACTACAAATAACCAAAATGATAAGGCGATTGATGAAAATTTGATTCGTATAATGAAAGGATGCCTCGAGAGAAACCCGAAAGCACGTTTTACTGTTCCGCAATTATTAACAGATCCCTTTCTCAAACATTCGCAAGAGCCTAGTAAGAGTTACATATTTTCATTGGTTAAACCAGTAACTGTAATGATTAATTCTGTTTTTTTTTTTAGTGGTATTGCCGATACTTGATAATTTGTTACATGAAGCATTAAAATACGCCGATAACAATCTCATAAAACATAACGAGCACGAAAAAATAACAAGTATTGCAAAGGTATGTTTATTTCTTAATTTTTTTTTTCGGTAATGTTTTTAATTTTATCAACGAGTCTTTAATATAATTATAGGCGATATTTACACAAATAAAAAAGAGAGAGCCGATAAATTGTGATAGATGGAACCTTTGATCTTATAATATTAATAATATAAAGAGCGAAAGTATGAATATTTTGTATATTAGAAATAATAGTTCGAAACTTCAATTTAAAATTTTGTAATCATAATGTTCAATTTAAATTAGTTAACTAAATAAGAAACGTTACATTCTACCATTAATAATTAAAATTTATGATTATTTAATAAATGATTAATCACTTGCCAACCAGGAGCATCTTGCCATTTTCTACGTACAATTACATGAGTATGAGCGTCGCCATCAAGACGAACAAGTACTTTACGCCAAGACATGTCTTTATGCCAAAATCTAGCAATTTGTTCTTCAATAGGCAAATTATGATAACCTTCATCTGCTTCCCTTTCAGAGGAAGTAGAAAAGGTATCGGCAATAGGAGGAATATCGTTAGGATGATATAATTTATCATAAATAATAGGAGATTTAACAGAAAAAGATCTATTAAGATACTCCTTAGTGGTTTCGGGAGGCATTAAAGTGGTTACCAAGTGTTGTAATTGACTAAGTAAAGTAATGTGAGAATGATCTTTAACACAATCATCACCGTTATAATTAATAAAATAAAGAGAAGAACTCTTGAGAGATACCGGTACATCATTTGTAATATTTGCATATAATGTACGATTTTTAAATGATTTTAATGCCATATGAGAAGAAGAATTTGGACGTGATAAAGATAATAATAAAGGTTCTTCGTTAAGCGAGTCAATATTGGGAAATGAATCTCCTTTATCTAAAACGTCTGATGCGGAATGTTGTTCATTTTTTGACCGTGGTATTAATGCCAAATCTTTACCGGTTTGACCTACTGCACCCAATTTCAGACCAAATTGAAGATACCAGGCTAAATCTGTCGAACCTAGGAATGGTGACGCTATCGCTACAAAATGTATTGGTTCAACTTCCTTAAAAAATGTTCCATTAGTTACGCTATTTAAGTAACCTATAAGGAACACATTGATCAAACCTCCTAATGAGTGCCCAATGAATGATATTTTGGATAGTAAATTTCTATTAAAATTAATGTTCTTTGATTCAGAAGGAGAAGCCAATGAACTAGAGGTAATCGAAGAACTCGTATGATCGGAGGAAATCCAAGGCCATCCGATATATTCTAAAATATTTTTAGCTAATCTCTTACCACAATTTTCAATCCCATCTTGGGTACCAGAATGATTAACATCAGACATATAAACAACGACCTCATATTCTAATTGATCTTTATACATTTCTTCAATAGATTCCTTTAAATATAATTCATCCAACATAGATCCATGTATCCCATGAGTTAACACGACAAGATGAACCGACTTATTATTTTTAATTATATCATTGAGATTTGGTAAAGCAAATACATCTTCTGGTTTAAAATATTCAAATAATATTGTAGGTGAATGAATATTAATTATGGTAGGACCATCTTTATATTCTTTCTCATCCTTAACATTAAGATCAAGAATTTGAAATTCTTCTATTTCGTCTGTTACACATGTGATCACCGCAGATAATAATACCTCATATTGTACCTTATTGTTGCTAAATAATATATCACTTAATACTTCAATGGTCCAATCCCCAATCCAATCCTCCTCTCCCTCTCTTATTTCGTATGGTAAATTTAATGTTATTTCCCACGTTTCACCACATTTTATTCCAGCCTTAGTTTGTGGTACGATTTCAAGTGGTTGATTGAAAATGCTACGATCATTATGTTTGGTTTCAATGCAAGTTGCTGATATATTATATGGTCCTTGTAATATCGCTATCGCATAGATTATTGGGGTTGTATTCTTTACTTTTAACACCAAATTTTGTGGTGGCCATGCCGTACTTTTTCTTATCTTTTTAGGATCAAAACGTATTCTATATCTTGTTATTTCACCTACAGTCATTTCCGAGCTGGCTTTCCATAATTCTACCAATCTAACTGTCGAGGGATTCATAACGCAGTTTTATATTTAATTTTTATTTTATTCTTTTAAAATAAAATAATTTTTTGGGGAGAGAAATTCAGATCGGTATTTATACTTTAATTTTCAAACAAAAATTATTACGTGCCAATTATCGAAACATTGCATAATCTTCTATAGATCATCGGTTTACATAAATATTTTTTAATTAATTGTAATTGAAATAAAATTTTATGACATAATATAAACTGAATTATATAAAGTTATTATATTTTTCATATATAAAGTGTGAGTGTTGCGTGAGTGCTGAATAAGCGTATTATTAAAAGTGTAAAATTAAAAAAATTTTAATTATCCTCCAATTTTTCCCAAGGCCCATTTGTATATATTATTTATAATTATAATAACAATTATTATGATAGAGATTTTGACTTAAAAATATATCCGCGGAAAGAAATCATAGATCACCCAATACTCTGTACATTATCTTATGATTTTGTTTCTTTTTCATTATGGAATTTTCATGGATTTCATTCATAGTTCCTGATTTAGTACAGATAATGATACGAATTTGAAACTTACCTGAAAAAAATAATTCTCAGATCATCACCAAGATTTCACATGACAAAACCATTAAAAGAAAGATATTTGATCTACTGTAAAGCGTTGCTCATATTCCCGCTTGCTGATTTTGTTGATGATGGATCTGCTGCATTTGTGGTTGGAATAAAATTAGCTGTCAACTTTCCAGAAGCCAGTGAATTCAAAAGGGGTGATTTCTTTAATTTTTCATTTTCTCTCCGCAGACTTTCATTTTCTTTACGTAATTCTTCATTATCACGAAGAACGCATTGAAATTGTCTTTCCAGATAATTCTAATATAAAATGATAATAATGAAAATAATTTCATTAATCATATATCTCGCGAACCAAATAAAAGATCTACAATTAAGTCTGTTGAAAATCAATGTATATATACCAAAGATGCTGCGATCTCCTTTGTTGAATTCCTATTGATTCCTCCTGTATTACCATTTACACTCGGAAATTGTTGTAAATTATATTGCTGTGGTTGCATTCTTCCGACTATAGCCGCGGCCGATGTGGCAGATAATAGCTCATGCAAAATCGCTCGTTGCGTTTCGTTCTGTTGTAATAAAGTTTTAATATGTGAACTAGAACCCATCATATGTTGTCCTTGACCGCGTAAGATGGATGAGGAAGGTGAGATACTGGGCGAGTGACCCATGAAAGTTGATTGTGGTGAATATGTGGTTTCAGATGTAAGCAAGTTCCCTGATTTTAATTTATTTTGGTCAAACCAAAAAATTAAACAAATTTTTATACAAAATGACAAAAAAAAAAAAAAAAAAAAGAGTGAGAAGGCAGGAGGGAATGAGGAAATATTTTATTTATTTTTTTTAATATATAAAAAGTTAAATAGTTTAAAAAAATCGTAAAACCCTAATTGTTTTTCTAATAGCTGTTTGATTTTCTTAAATAATAAATAAACAACCATATAAGGCGAATAAATATATGTATAAACATTGTTATTCATTTCCAACTTTCTCTATACCTGATGGAGATATTGACCCATCTATCTTTGGTGGTACATCAACACTGGATACTTGAAATCTTCCTTTTTTGGTACCCACAGGTTTTTCTGGAGCCTTTTCCATAGTTTGCACATCTAAGGATCCTCCATTAATAGTACCTTCCTTGGTTAATAAAGTATCACCTTTTGACAATGTTGAATCACGAGAAAGTGAATGAACAGAACTTTCTCGAGAAAAATTTTGAGAACCTGACGATGATGTCAATGTAATATCCAAAGGCTGTTGGACTTCGAATCTGCTCTTCTTATTACTTTCTGTAGATTTGTATCAATAACGTTTTGAAATAATTTAGAATTTATTAAATAAGTATATATAATAAACATATAAACCAGTACATTGCAAGTACCATATTATGGGTCACCTGTTAAATTCTCGTTAGACTCCTTAGACCGAGGAAGAAGTTGATTATCGGATTCAGGTAGAGTTCCGGAAGAAAAAGTTCTTTCCCTAATTCCATTACTTTCAACACTAAATCTTCCCTTTTTAATTCCTTGTGATTGATGAGGTTGTATACGTTGAGCATTCTGTTCATCCTTTTCTCCTGACGAAAATGGATTAGATACAAAATTTGTTCCAGCAGAAGGAGGCTGGGATTTAGATAATGGATTTTGGGAAGGAACAGAGATAGCTGAAGGAGTCGAAGGTACGGATAAAGATAAAGGTTTATTTGATTCTGTAACAGCATCTCCAACCCGGAACCGCGACTTTTTTGGTGGTACAACTGCAGCACTAGAATCTGTTTTGGAAGCATCATTATTTTCACCAATAACAGAAAATTCAACTCGCTTTCCTTCTGATGTACCGTCATTTGCTTCTTGTGAATCTTGATCATCATTTTCACGGTATTCACTATCAACCGCAAAATCCCATGTTACTCCTTTGTTATATGTTATGGGTTTTTGTTGAACTCCTAATGAAAATAAAGTTAAATCAAATAAATTAAGAATATATAAATATACATATATTTTAAATAAATTTTTAAATAATCAAATTGAACAAATAAAGACTATATATACTTTTATGTGGCCTTTCTTCCAAAGGTGGCAAGTGTTGCAATATTTTACTCACTAAAAAATCTTTTCTCTTAGCAGGTTTAAAAAACGGATGATTTAGCAACTTTTCTGTAGATGGACTAAAGACATAAAAATGAATAAGTAAGTAATAAATTTTCAATATATGACATAATATATAGAAAATAAGACGTGTCTTGATAAATATATGCACCGCTTAGTTGGTTCCTTTTGCAAACACATATCGATCATTTCCTTAAATGTCTTTGAATATTTATGCTTTGTTGATTCTCTATCAAGAGTAGGAGGATCGTTAGAAAGTGTAACCATGATTACCTAAAGAAGGTAGTTACGAAATATAATTAAAAAAATATATGGATTCAACAAAAGATTAAGAGATGGTTTTAAAATATGCACCTTAAGGGGCGGAAATTTGGCGAAAGGTGCATGTCCAGTAGATAATTCAAGCGCAGTAATCCCAAAGGACCAGATATCGGCTTTATAATCATATCCTGCATGTTCCATAACTTCTGGAGCCATCCAACATGGCTAATAAAGAATTTCAATAAAGAACAAAAGCATTAATTTCATGATTATAAAATAATTGCTTGTTGAAGTATATCCACTTACTGTGCCGACAAAAGTTCTTCGAAAACCTCTTCTATCACCATTTTCTGTTAGAGAAGATGATACACCAAAATCAGCAAGCAGAACTGATCCATCTTCGTCTACAAGAAGATTTCCGGCTTTTACGTCTCTATTTTTATTATAATTTATAATAGGGGGGAAAAAAATAGTAAATATAAATAATAAAAAAACACTAAGCGATATTTTACTTGTTAACATTTTCTTTTAAGTTAATTATAGCTTGCCTGTGAATATGTCCATTTTTGTGCAAATAATCCAATCCTAGAAGGGCTTGTTTTAAAATAGCCGCTATTACTTGTTCTTCGAAACCATCGGGATGAGTGGTCTTCATTATATCCGAGCATGAACCTGATAATATTGGTGGACATCTTTCAACATGTTCACATAATGTTTGAAAAGATCTAATCTAATATTGGTTATAATTATTAAGAATTAAACGGGACCTACCAGCTGACATATAAGGAGTAACAATATAAAGCTTTGATTCGTTTACAAACGAGCCATAAACACGTAACACATTCGTATGTTTTGAAAGAGACATTAATTGTGTTTCTCTCTGGTGTATTAATATAAGTTATGAGATATGAGATAACAGTGTTTATATATAATTTGCTTCGACGATCAGAATAAAATCAATTGATAATCGATTATAATGTTGAATAATATACAGTACCCTAACTTCATCGATTTGATTTCGCTCAAAGAAATCCAAATCTATCATTTTAACGGCAACCCTTTTATTCAATGGTTTATATAAAGCACCATAAACAATAGCAGATGCACCATAACCTATGTATATTTTGGAAATTGAACAAATTTATAATTATTAAAATGACATCACAAGTTTTTTAAGTCTAATACATTGAAAAAAATTGACAATAATTGTTCATTTCTAACTCATTTCTTGTTCTGCTTATTCTCATAGTTAACAGTTATGAACCAAGAAATAAGTCAGGAAAGTATATTCTAAGAAAAATATGCTAGATTAAAAAATGGGAAAAAGCACCAATATACTCCCACCTATAGGACTGTTTGTATTAATATCGTAGTCCTCTACATTGCTGGAGAAGATATGATCGTCGGACGAGTTAACTACAGGAAAAGATCCGGAATGAAAACTTGAGGTTCTCTTTGGCATATGTGGAGCTTTATCCATTTTGCTGTCTTAGCGTTAAATGAGACTACCTCTGTCGCAGTTGATAACAAAAAAAAGATTTTTAGGACAACTATTGACTCTAAGAACGGAACAAAATAAATTGTGCCAGTAGAGTAATGAGGCGATTTTCAAAGCTATTCGTATTTAATTTCGTAGGGTCGAGATATAACAGTTGTACGATTGTCATTACTAAGAGATTTAGTAATACCAAAAAAAATGTATTTTTAATGATCTACATGAGGTAATGGATTGATTACATTAACATTGTCAGGTCAATGATAAAATTTCTTAAAACGGTAATAAAATAATAGGTTAGCGAATTCATCTTTATTATTATTCTTTTTAATAAATCAATCTTAAATACGGGAATTTCACAAAGTTGATGCGAGAATCATAGGAGAAGATATCTCATCGCGTTTTTCTTTACCAAGAAGTTGTTCGACAATCGTTAATGCAAAAAGGAATGCAGTACCTGGTCCTCGGCTAATATTGATAGATAATTATTACCAAAAATCCAATCAGGATGCGTAATAACTCCAAGATTTCAAATTACCTCGAAATGACCTTATTGTCAACCACAACGCGTTCTTCTTGGTAATCATAATCTAGGAGATAAGCAAAAAATTCACGATGAATGTAAAGTTCATTCATTGTGATGTAAAATGAACAAACAGATATTAACCATTTTCCAAATCAGCCTTAACGACCGGATGGGACGTAATCTTGCCGCCCTTGTTAATATTAGCGCTCTTAATCGCAATAGTTCCTGATATTAAATAAAACAAATGAAGTGCTGAAGTACAACATGGCCTTATATTTATGAAAATATTCTTTCAAAATACCAGCACAAATTGCAGCGATAAATTTGCCAGATTGATGCGCTGAAGCCAACAATCTTTGAACCTCTGAATTGGATGAAATAGTTCGAGCACCGGCTAAACCTCCCGGAATAATAATAACATCATAGATACATTTTTTAAATAAGTTTTCTTCGGAAATATTTGAAAAAGATTGGTCTGGTACAATCATAACACCACGACTGCACTTTGCGTAATTTTCATTTTGTAATGCAATTCCGGCGACAGTCACGTCAATTTGTGCACGTCGCAATACATCAACTTTAAATAAGAAAATTCATAATGAATAAATAATTTTATATCACAAGGAGGCATGTCCAATTTGGATTAAAAATTTAAAAATACACACTGGGTATAACCGTCTCCATTTCCTCTGAACCGTCTGCAACCAACATAAGAGCTTTCTTAACGTTCAGATTTGTCATTTTTTTTTTTTTTCTTCAAGAAAGAAAAAGGAACTATTTCTTATCTGATAATATCTCACTTTATTGTTATCATAAGATCTTTAGTTCTTTTATAGAAATACTTATAGCTTTCATAGTTTATAATTGACTACGTTATTTGCAGGTTTCTAATAGGCATACTTTTTGTAGTGATCACATGATTTGTAATCAATTCCACTATCACACTTGTAAGATTTTTTAACAAGCTAGAGGCATCTTTACCTTTTTTGCTCTTGGGAAGGGTTTAATAGTGGTTCAAGTGATCAGTGGCCTAGGATTTTATAAAAAGAATGGACAACATGGAAAAAGATAAAATACCTGAACATAGGAAAAATGCTTTCAAGGCAAAGGCTGTTTTTAAGGCTGACGAATTACGCAGACGTCGTGAGGAATTACAAGTAGAAATTCGTCGAAAGAACCGAGAAGAATCTTTGGCAAAACGGCGTAATCTTAATGTACCTGCCTCACCCGACTCGGATGATGAGGTGGCTGTTGCGACCATCAACGCTCAGGTAAGTTTTGGGAGGTTTACTATTTGTTATTTATTTAGCTTTTACGCAGTATACATAGAATTCCAACATTCTCTGTGCTACGAGTAAACCTTTACTTGGCTGCGTTACCAAGCTCTTTATAGATCATAGTAGTTTATATTATCTTTGTTAGGCTTATTATAATTCTCAATATTTTTGAGGGGCCATCATTATTTATTTGATGATATTTTATACTATACTTATATTTTTTTTTTACGTTGTGGCTTAGCTCCAAGAGCAGTTGCCTGGTATGATACATGGAGTATTCTCTGAAAATGTTGAGGAGCAATTGCAAGCCACTACCAAGTTTAGAAAATTGCTTTCGAAAGAAAGGAATCCCCCTATTGAACAAGTTATCGAATGTGGAGTTGTTATCCGTTTTGTGGAATTTTTAAGATCTCCTCACTCTTTGGTTCAAGTAAGTATTCATTTTAAGGCTTATATGCCTTTTTTTTTTTTTAAAAAAAAAAAAAAAAAAACTTAATTCATTACGCGTTTTTGATCAATTTAGTTTGAAGCAGCTTGGGCTTTGACTAATATTGCATCAGGATCTTCACAGCAAACCCAAGTTGTGATCGATGCTGGAGCCGTTCCTATCTTTGTTGAATTATTGAGTAGTCCAGTTGCTGATGTTAAAGAACAGGTATATTTATATATTATTCTTTACGGTTCGATTATGTTTTTGATTTATTTTACTTAATATGCAGTTCCAATTTGAATATTAGGCTGTTTGGGCTTTAGGTAATATTGCCGGTGATAGTCCTCCATGTCGTGATTATGTCTTGCGTGAAGGAGCCCTTCGACCTTTATTGGCCATCTTGAATGAACATCACAAACTTTCAATGTTGAGAAATGCAACTTGGACTCTATCTAATTTCTGTCGAGGAAAAAATCCTCAACCAGACTGGAGTCTGGTAAGATTGTGATTTCACTTTTTAATTCAAAATTATTATTAAATTTTATTAATGATTATGATTTTGTTACTTTAGATTGCTCCAGCTCTTCCAGTTCTCGCCAAACTAATCTATTCTATTGACGATGAGGTTCTTATTGATGCTTGTTGGGCTATCTCATATTTATCAGACGGCAGTAATGAAAAAATACAAGCAGTTATTGAATCTGGCGTTTGCCGTCGGCTTGTCGAGCTTTTGATGTAAGATTCTTCAATTTTTGTTAATTTTTATCCTTAGCAACTAACATGACATTTTATTTCTTTACCCAGGCATTCATCAACTTCCGTACAAACTCCAGCATTACGTTCAGTTGGAAATATTGTTACTGGTGATGATGTCCAAACTCAAGTTATCATCAATTGTGGTGCTTTACCTGCTTTATTGAGTTTATTATCTAGTCCAAAGGATGGTCTTCGTAAGGAAGCTTGTTGGACAATTTCCAATATTACTGCCGGAAATTGTGCACAAATACAGGCAGTTATTGATGCGAATATTATACCACCCCTTATTAACATCTTGCAACACGCCGACTTTAAGACTCGCAAGGAAGCATGCTGGGCTATTTCCAATGCAACGTCTGGCGGTTTGAATAAACCTGAACAAATCAAATATCTTGTTAGTCAAGGATGCATTAAACCACTCTGTGATTTATTAACTTGCCTGGATAATAAAATTATTCAAGTTTCACTTGATGGACTCGAAAATATCCTAAAAGTTGGAGAAATTGATAAGGTAGATAGCGTTAATCAATTCGCCCTATATGTTGAAGAAGCTGGTGGTATGGAGAAAGTTCACAACTTGCAGATTCACGACAATATTGAAATTTACAAGAAGGCCTATCATATAATTGATAAATACTTTGCAGAAGATGAAGAAGAAGATCCTAATTTGGCTCCTGAGATGAATACGAATACAGGTCAATTTGCTTTTCCATCGGATGTAGAAATGCCTTCTGGAGGATTTCACTTTGGTGGTAGTAGCAATCCAATGTAAAGAGATGATTTAGTCGGAACTTTCTTCTCAATACAAAAAAATTTCTTTCGTACGATTTTCTGTTCTAGCCTTTTTTTTTTTTCTCAAATCTTTTTTTTCTTCACATCACAACCCTTTTTAAAGCAATTCAAGCAATGGTTTAGATAATAACCTCACAAATTTAGAAGGTAATAATATCACGAATATATGTGTATTCTTCTGAAATCGACTTCGCATTGCTAATTTGTATTGCCAAATTTAGAAACGTACCCTTTATCATTGCTATTTTTTATTTCTTTTTTTCTTTGTTTCGTATCCCTTAAATGTTGTATGTTGAACAATAGGATAGTTCTCTCAAAAAGATGCAATGCACGGCTTTGGGTTGTATCATTGAACACTGTGCATAGACATTTATTTTCAAGCCGTTTCTTTTTTTCATTTTCAAGTTTTTACATTTTTTTTTTTCATTACATTCCCCTCCCCATGTTAATTTTTCCCCTTCACACCTTTTTATATCTTTTAATTCTTTTAAAAGTTCATCAAAACTTCCTTCCCAATAAAAAATTTTCCCCCAAGATTTACCCTGAAAATCAATCGTGCTGTTTAAATTGTATAGTTAGTTGTTTTTCCTTGAGTTCACGGATTGAAAAATGTAAAACCCGAGAGATGATAAAAAAATTATATCGAGTCGTTTACTCTTTGATACTTTATTTGACGCGTTTCTTTAAATGAAACTCGCTGGAAACATTATTGAGAAAAATTAGAGCTAGATATAGGATTTTGTAGAATAAGATTTTTATTCTTATAAATTCTTTAAGAGAAAGAAATACTTATAAAACGATAAAAATCGAGGTGTTTTTAAGTGAAATTTTTACAATAATGATAAATTTGGCGGTAATTCTGACCGGAATTAAATTGATTACGTAACGAAAATTTAATTATTAAAGGAAAAGCACAAAGATAAATTTTTTTTCTTTTCTATTAAATATTTGGTAATTCTGAATTAAGATCTTTTGACTTGAAATATTATTTAATTAACATTTATAAAGCAAAATTTCTCTTTATTATTTGTCAAAATTAATGAAAAAAGTTCATTAGTAATATATTAATTAATCGTAAAATATAAGTTTCTTTATAAATCAATTTAAAAAAATTTTTTAAATTGCTTTTATGTAGATAAATAAATCATCAAATAAGTGGTTAATCTTATAAAAATACCTTATAATAAAGATGATTTTATAAAAGTAATCTAAAAGGTTTTAAATATATATCTATTTCATTTTTATTTATAGTATAAATATTAAAAAGTTTCATTATATTAAAATAAGACAAAAAACCAAAAAAATGAATAAATTTACTAAAATCCAAAAATCTTTAAAGTAATGATTTTGAATCTGTTTAATTATAAACTAAAAATAACAAAAAAAGGTAAAAATAAAGTTATTAATAATAATATAAATACTGCTATATTTTTTTTATTTCTAAATCATTTTATTATAAAAATAATAATAATTTAATAATAATCTATTTATATATATATATATATATTTACAATAAATTATTGATTATACAATAATAAATATAATAATTTAATCTTAAATTTCTAAAATAATTAATTTTAAATCAAATAGTCTAATAATTATTGTAATTAAATTTTAAAATTAAAGTCTTTTATTTTATATAAATTTATTGAATTATAATTTAATTACAATTATCACAAAAGTATTAAAACTCAAAAAAAAAATTTTAATATCTAAAAATTTATTTAAAGGAAATCAAATTTAAAATTTAATAAATCTAACATATCCAATTTTTTAATATTTAAATAAAATTAAATAATCTTATTACTTATTATTTTTTTAAATAAATATTACTTTTAAAATACTATAAATAGATATTAATAATATAATTGATTTACATAATGTAGTATAAAATTGTTTGATATCTTTAATATATTAAATATATTTAATATAATTAATATATCTAATATATTTAATATATTTAATATTTATAATATATTTAAGACTACTTTAATGCTTATCTCAGGTGAAAATTCACTTGTTACATAATATCAAATTTTACATTTTAAAAATTAATTTTTAATTTTTATTTTTTTTGTAAAACAAACAAGTTATTTATAAATAAAGCATGAAAATAAATATATTTAAAAACTTATATAACTTTTTCTTTTTTTTTAATGATTATTTGATTGTACTAATTTATAAAGTAAAATGTTGTCTTTATTAAATATAAATAAGTAATTAAATTAAATTAAAATTTATATAAAAAAAAACAATTATACTATTATCCTTTCCACTTTTTACATCTTAAAACAATAAGCATTTATATATCTTTTTAACTTAGTATTAAAGTTCAATCTTTGTATGCATTCATAATATGAACAACTTTAATTATAAAATTATACTATTTTCATATCAATTAAAGTAATTGTTAATATAAATGTGCTTTAGTATAATTCTCTAATAATTCACAACTAAATAAAGATTATAATACCTCTATATTAATT